AGCATTTGGCCCTACCTTTTTCTATGATATCATCAGATCACAAACTATGCCCCTGTGGCCCCAACAGGACAGAAAGCAAAGGTTGGCACTGAATGCTAGAAAACTGTCCTCTATTGAGACAGAGTGCAGAATGTGTTTTGAGTTTGCCAGCAAGTACACAGTAACTGGATTTCCACAGTACATTAAAAATGGGGTTGGGTGGTTTTTGGTTAGCATCTTGCAGAAAACCTCCTATTATCTTCGTGTGTTGTGTAAACTAAGCCATCACATTAACATGCTTATTTGCTTAGGCATTGTATCTTAAGTAAATACAGCAATTATATTTTTGTTACCCTGGATTTAAGGTTAGTGTGATGTGCCAACCTAGCTGCTGAAATCCCAGGGAAGAAAGAAGAGAACAGAAATGTTTGGAACTGTTTGAGGGCTACTTTGGACAAACAGAGAACAAATGTGTGAACCCTCCCCTCTCTCCAATTATTTCTTTCTATTATATCCAGTGGAAGTGGGTTTTTCTATTCAGAAATGGCCAGCAAACTACTATACATTCTGCTGAACAGAAGGTGGAATGGATAAAAATAAACACCATGGCCTTTTAAAAACAGGTTATTACCTTTTTTTTTTAAAAAAAATGCTCTTTGGCAACAAGGATTAGTAGGATTTCCAGACTTGCTTGGCACGTAGACATTCACACACAAAGTCCCCAATATCTCAAATTTAAAATAATTAGGAAATAGGTGGGGAAAGGATTTCTCTGTCTATAATTCTGAAAATCTATTTTTCCTTGAAGTATACAACCTTGTATTCAGCTTTCCTTTTCTCCCTTTGTCTTCTTTTTCCACCAGTATTGTCAACTTTTAGATTGTAATATTTTTGGAACAACTTTGAAGCCTTGACTAAACAGAAGTGCATGCAAAATTTTGTGATGCTGCAGCTTGTTCGGTCTGTGAGACTCTTATTAATATAACCTAAAATACTATTGATATAGGAATTTTTATATTTCTTGACAGAAGTTCACTAGCTTATTCAATTTTAGCATTCACTCTTGTACTTTTTTTAATGGTATACACCTGCATGGTTGCTGCCTAGCCTATCTCTTTCTTCCGGGCATCACTGTATATTTATTTGTTCTGAGATTGCTGTATTTTCTTGAAATGTGGAAAAATGGGCTCCATTGTAGCTATGTGGCTGACTGCCAGCTTGGATCCATTGTATGAAATATTTAATACTGCTTTGCAAGCAGAAGGATTGTGTTCTTTTTAGATTTATCTCGGATCTTATAAAACATGCAAGAAGAACAAGAGGAAAAAACAATTTAAGAGGAATGAAGAAGAGTATTTGAATTCAAAGACAGTCTATGGGGTTTTTTTTGCACAAACATATGCATCATGCAAATAAGAAAGTTATCCCTTTAAGTATCCTGTAGAGAAATGATTTTTAATCATGATCACAGATATCTGTATTGCCTTATTTTGCTAAAGATTGTGGGAGATTAGAAAGACTCGATTAGCAAGAGTTTAGGTTTTAGTGTTCCTCCCTGAAAGCAAAAATAAGAATATGCTTTTTATTATCCATCTGATCTAGCATTCTATTCTCATAGCAGCCAGCCAGATGAAAACACTTATTCACATGTGGGTATGTTATACAGTTATGGTAAAAAAGGATATTTCCAAAATTGACTGGTTTGTGCATGTTTGTGTGACACTTTGAATAACACTAGGATTCTTGTAATATGTAGTATTTATTCTTGTGTCTTCAGCAAGAGCCGATTGTTGTTGGGTTTGATATAAAGCAGAGCTATCATTTTTTAGTTAAATAAACTATAATGTTTTGCTATTTTTGAATATGAGCTCACCCAGCAACCAACTTAAATGACCAACTGTGATTAGATATCTTAATTTGAAACTCATCTGCAAGCCATTGTGCCCCAATTAGTTGGTTGTAGTATCTAAGCGATCAAACTTATCAGTTTATAATTAAGTGATTGTATCATCCAAACAACTGTTGCAGGCAGTGAATTAATACTGGGATTGAATACTGTGCTCAAAGTATGGCTTAATTTTTTAATCAGGGCAGGTGAATTCAAAAGACAAGTCTTGCCATCTCTTAACACTTCTAAATCTAAAGCGCAGTGAAGATTATTCTAGCTTATTTTGCTAAATGACTTTAGATTAGTTTTTTTCAACTTCATAATTTTATACTGGGTTGATTTCAACTCTGAAAATTCTTTGCCGGCTGGGAAATTCTGAGAGTTGAAGTCCACATATTTAAAGGTATCAAATTTGAAAAACACCACTATTTTTCAGAATGGGAAGCTACAAGCACTGACATGTATATTTATGTGTAAGTTAGATAGCTTTGTAGCCAATCGGTGATTGCCATTTTTGGCAAGGGTGGTAAATTAGTTGTTAACTAAGATGCTATTGATGACATATCAACAATATAATATTTGAGTTAATTATTGATTTGATTTTATGTGTATGGCTGCTCACCTCACTCAATACCAGAAAGCTAACAACAGATAACAAAGTGCCATCAAAGCAGCATAAGAAAAACTGTAAGGAGAGCTGAGGTTAAAAACCCAATTGACAATAACTGAAAACCACAGCCCACAAGGGCCTACGAACTAGCTGACTCTCAAGCCCATGGGGTTTCCTAATCATGCTAACAAATTGCTAGGATCAGATACGAGGTGCTACAAAGCAGAGTGAGTTAAGATTCTCCAGTGAAAACAGATTTTGACATAAGCACAATGCAGCATTAACACTGTACAGGCAGGTTGCAATTAGTACAAGTTTGAATAATGCAATACTTGATTTAGTGCAAATTGTAAGTTGATACCAGTTGACATTTGCATTTCCTGGGAGGAAGTATGTCAAACTGAAGATGGTTCTGTGAAAGCAAAGCCAACAACTGTGTCAGAAACCAAGGAATTGGTGAGAAGACCTGTTCCTTGGATCATCTCTGGAAAAGAAGAGGATGGCTCATGTCCATGTGTGATCCGGACAGTTGCTTCTCTCAAGAAGACCAAAGGAGGAGTTTTCAATTTTTTGTGTATTTGAGCATTAGGAGAGGATGGTATCAACAATATTGGTTGCAATTGGGGAATAACTTTTTAAAGGATATTAGGTTTGCAAACATCATTTTCTAGTCATTTTCAGAAATTGTCTATTAATCATTGTAAAGCTTTTAGAGACTTTTCGAACAACAAATTTGGAAACATTGAAAAATCGGATCAGCTTATCTTCAATTCTGAACAAAAGGAATATTAATCGTAAGACTAAGATTTTTTTTTAAAAAAACCCTGAAATAAACAGCCAAATAAGATTTTGATCTTAGAAAGTTATAAATGGAATAACAATCTTAAGTCATTTTGGAATACTGAAACTGCAATAAGACATTGGAATTAAGTATAAAGAATAATCAGTTTCTTGTGGGGAATAGATCTGTTTTGGTTTTTGAAAAGCATAACATTTTTGGCAAGGGTAGTAAAACAAAAATTGGACACTAGAAGAAGGTTAGTTTAGAGGAAAAATGCAAGCCTGTAAAATGTAAAATACTGAAGGTATTAAGTTTTCAAAATACTTTTGAAAAACTGAGTCAGAAATTAATAGGCACAGCATCAACAATGTCAGTAATGTTGTCTGCTAATAAATGGCAGATGTCGGACAAATTTTATTGGACAAGATGATAAGGCGAGAGAATGGCTTGGAAAAAGAAACAAAATTTTTTTATTAAACAAATTCCTGAATCCAAAAACCATGTACAAACCATCAAATCATTAAACAAAAAGCATAGTATTTGTGTTTTAGTGGAATAACAGTCTGGCACCAATATCATGAAGATATTGAGGTCTGGATTACATTATTTCTAAGAAGCATTAAAGATACTTGTTTAAATCATTGATTTTGACTGCAGATTTACTTGATGGTAAGCAGTGGGATTTCTCAGGTTTGGATTTGAAATAAACTTATGGGGCTTAAACATATAATTTAACGTTTAATTAAATATGTTTGGAAAATCAAGTGAATCAGGTGGATATCAGGTAAAAAATATTATCCGTCAGTCCAAAGGCATCAAATAAATATTCCATCATCTGATTTTTAACAAATGGAAACAAAGATGGAAGAATTTCTGGGAAAACATTAGGAATGTTCCAAGTGAAGGAAACCATTGTCTGGAAATTTTCCCCCCACCTCCCAAGTTTTGTGTTTGGGGCAAGATAATTATCAAAGCCTGTGGAAGTTTCCTTCCTAATTATATGTTATGTAACAGTTAGGTTTGCAAATAAGAACTTAAAAATGGTGCCTTGGATGATGGGCTGACAAATTTACTTGAAATACTTTGAAGCTACATATTTATAAAAATTGGATTATGTTGCCAAATCGGGTTTAATTGAACAGTCCCAGTTTTATTGTGAAAACCTGTTCACTGTGCTGCATGAATGCAGATGACAAACAGAAAAGTTGGAGATATAATCAAACCAATCAAATCTTTATTATGGTTATAGACCAACACAATGAAGGTGGGATACAAGCAATAATTTTTAAACACCCAAAATATTAAAACAAAAATTTCACAAAATTAAGAAACATAGAAAATACGTTTTAAAAAGACTAGAAAATATAAAAAGTCTAAAAAATTTATATGCAGGGGTAGAGACATTAGATAAATACAAGAAAACATTAAAGCTAGTTTAAGACACAGGACAACTGATGGATTTTAAATGCTGCTGCACAGAACCTGGTAACATGTGTTTGTAACAGGTTAGTATCTGCAAGCAGTAGAGAATTATAAAATTTTCCTGTGCACCCTGGATGTTTATACTGTGGTGGTGAAATGAAGCTAGCACAAATGTTTCTGTAATACAGACACTTGGAGAAGCAGTGTTGTTTCTATATCTCCACAGCCACAAGGGCATTGAAGAAAACTCTGATCTCTTTCTGTTTTCACTTGCTCTTTTATTTTATTGTTCTCTGTTTCCTGTCTCCCTTTGTCCCAAGGCGATGCTTGTTGTGCATGATACTGTTGCTCAGAAGAATTTTGATCCTGTTCTTCCTCCATTGTTGGATAATATTGACGATGATTTTGATGAAGAATCAGTAAAAATAGTTCGTCTAGTAAAGAATAAAGAACCTTTGGTATGTATCATTGATGCTGGTAAGAACAAAAGGCTATTGGTGATTCCATTGAGATTAAAATAACTACAGTATGCATGAAATATGGGGCGTTTTTTAGATGTACAAATAATTCCAGATGATGAAAACAGAAAAGGAATGGAGAAGCAAAGATGGCTTTTTTTGTAGGAATGAATCTTCTTGGCAGTGTTGAGTACTTCCAGCATGATTAACAGCTTCTCTCCTACCCATAAAATGTCCATATTTTCATATTTGGATGACATAGTAAGCCAAACACCATCTGATTTAGTATGTTGTGTAAACATGGTTATTCTGTGAAGAAGTATTTTGACTCTTGTGCTCTAAACTGGCTGCCAATCAGGTTCATTAGTGATTTCATTCTAGTGTTTTGGAATCCAAAGCTGGTAGATTCTCATTCTCACTATGGCTAACCCAAGCCAACATAGCCAATGGCAAGGCATTGTGGGAACCCAATTCGTGTTAGTCCCTTATTCAGCACCAGCTGTTTTGGTTTTCTGTTAATATATAGATGTAAGTAAAGATGTATTAGACTTTAAAGTCCTTAAATATTTGGGACTTATCTGATTAGTTGTCTGTCTGAGCTTTTAGCTTAGCGCACTTAACTTGAGTTTTGCGCCAACATTCATATGTGAATAAAGAGGAAATCTTATCAGTTTCTTAGTCTTCTATGTTAAATTAATTTCCACTCATTTCTACATGTTCCCCATATTTTAAATTTAAGAATATATTCACATTTTCTTGAACATTTTTTCTATTAATATACATTTTTTTGTGTTTCATATATATATTTTGCCAGCCATGTTCTTGATTTATTTTAAATTGTATGGGATGTTCCCATAATTATATATATCATTGTTGAGATGTGAACTCAGTTTCAGAATCTATAAAAGTAAGTTCCCTGTAAGTATTGCATGAATTACATTTATGTTTAAGAACGGGATAGCATAGGAATTGATCATACAGATAGCCCTTTGCCTAGCAACCATAGATGGGACTGTTAACTGTTGCTAAGCAACCTGGTCATTAAATGAGACGTGATGTGACCATGATTTTACTGCCAGCTTCTCCATTGACTCTGCTTGTCGGGATTAGGCTATTAAATATGCAAATGGCATACAAGGGATGCTATAATGATCATACATATTTGCCAGTTATGAAGTGCCCAAATTTCAGTCATGTGACTGTGAGGAAGCTGCCGTGATCATAAATGTCAGGACTAGTTGTAAAACTAGTTTTCTGTTGTAACTTAAATCATCAACTTTCATTAAGTAAGTCTATATGTAGCATAAAAATATGAACTGAATGGATTTCATTCTGTCTCTAGCAGAATCATCAGGAAATATCAAGATCTCCAGGAATGTCTTGATTTGGGAATGATTTACAGCCCTCTTTTTATGGGTTTCTAGAACTACATATTGCAGCTTGCACTGGTTCATCTTAAAAGTATAATGCTTCAATCTGCTGATGATATTTTATTTATTCTACTTCAATGGTGTATTGAATATTGTTATAGTATGATTATTCTTTTAAAAAAAAGATATGTGAGGACTTTTATCCTGAAACAATGTAATATTCCTATAAATAAACAATGCTGTTATTAATAATAGGAGGTATTCGGGGATCAGCTGGAATTGCAGCAGATGTAGCAGGGCAGATCAAAGAAAACATTTCTTCATGCATCTTATAATTAATAGAATTCACTTCCATTAATCTTGGTTTAGGTTGTATTAAAGTGGGGCCTGGTTAAATTCACAGAGGATAGAACTAGCCATAGCTATTAACCATGACAGCTACATAGAATTTCCAGAGGCAATGTCATAATGAATATTAATTGTTGAGTGGGATCAAAAAGTGAGAGGAGGCTTTTGTTTTCATATCTTGCTCTAGGTTCCCCTCCAACTCGTATTTAACCACTATATACTGTATACACGGAGTTTTTTCTTTTAGGCTTAATTGATCAAGCCTATTCTGATGTGCCAGGCTAGTGCTGTGCACTGATGAATTTTTTGTCTCTCCTTTAGGGTGCAACAATCAGGCGGGATGAGCAGACAGGGGCTGTGATTGTTGCCCGCATCATGAGGGGAGGGGCAGCTGATCGCAGTGGTATGTTTCCCTAAGTTGCAAAATTCCTTTTTTTAAAATTTCATATCAGAGAGGACAAGCTTTCTCTTGAGACAGCTTAGGATTTTTATTTTTTCCTGAAAAACACATGAGGTTTTGATTCTCTTCTGCAAAGTCAGGCAGGTCATAGCACTAATGCTGGAAATTTCGGACACTTTTGAATTGGAAGAATAACACCTTTATTTATGTTTTCCTCTTCCTGAATTATATACAGATTGATTTGCCAATACAAGCCTGCCAAATTAACTTCTAACAGATATACGTGGCTCCAAGCACGGAAAGGGTGTAGTTTTGGCAGCCTGCAGAATTCAAAGTGAAGTTGTAGGTCAGGGGTTGGCAATTTTAAAAGTCATAACTGGAAGCCCCCCCCATTCAATTATGGAGGCGACCAGAAGTCCAGTTTCCCCACCATAGAGTCTCCTCCTAGTGCAGCATCCTTTTTTCTCTGCTGATCGGAAGTCCGGTTCCCCCACATAGTTTTCTCCTAGCACGGCGTCCTTTTTCCTCTACCTGTCCTAACCAAAAGACCTAGCAATTGTGGACTGGTGACAGGGAGCCACAGCAGAGGGATGAAAGAGCCACATGTGGCTCCAGAGCTGCAGATTGCTGACCCCTGTTGTAGGTTATAAAGAACCTAATTCTGAAAGATGCTGTGATTCCTTCCTTATGGATTATTGCCACAGGAGTATCCAGAATTTTGTGTGGATTTCCCAAAGATTATTCAAAATGATATTTCTTGAAATTTTACCTGAACACTACCTTCCATGCTTTATAAAACAAGGCTGTAGTGAAAGCAGAAAGAGATGATGAGTATTATTGATTAAATTGTTTGAAAATTTAGCCAAGGGGTGAGTAAGTACAGTAAAGCATTTTCAATTTTTGATGAAGGGGGATGCAAACTTCCTCTGAACTATAAAAGACATATTAATATTTTAACTAAATCTGTATTAGATAAAAGAAGAAGATGAGGTAGTGAGAAATGATTCATCTTTTATAATTACATCAAAGTTATAGAAGCTATGGTTCCTCCGATGTTCTTTGACTCTGCCTCCCATCAGCCTTAGCCTGGAAGGCCAGGTTATAGGGATAGGAAACCAAGACATATTTTCTTTTCATATTGTGCAATAGAGTAGCTGACTCAGTAGGGATTAGTAATTAGGGATCTGGTGGCTCAGTGGCTAAGATGCTGAGCTTGTCAATCAGAAAGGTCGGCAGCTTGGCGGTTCGAATCCCTAGTGCCATGTAATGGAGTGATCTCCTGTTACTTGTACCAGCTTCTGCCAACCTAGGAGTTCAAAAGCATGTAAAAATGCAAGTCGAAAAAATAGGAACCGCTTTTGGTGGGAAGGTAACAGCAGTCCGTGAACCTTTGGTGGTTAGTCATGCTGGCCAATGACCATGGAGACATCTTCAGACAGCGCTGCTCTTCGGCTTTGAAATGGAGATGAGCACTGCCTCCTAGAGTCGGGAACGACTAGCACATATGTGTGAGGGGAACCTTTACCTTAATTAGGAACAAGGATTAGGAACATATAAGATTATGGTCATCTGTATCCCAGCTTCCTTCTAAAGCAGGACAGGATTGTTATTTTAAGTTGTTTTTAGGGAATGCAGAGTTTCTTGATGGCAAACTGTATTTAAAATTTTTTAGTTCAGATTTAAAAACATACAAATAAAAATACACATGAAATTCTGCTGTGGGCTCAATGCATGTAGTTTATTGCCAAAACAGGATAAGGTTGGGAGAGATTCTGTCTACAAATTTCCATTTTGCTGCCAATTTCTAGTGGCTTAATCCTTGACTTCCTGGAACTGTCAGAACTGGGGACACATATGGTTGCTGGCTTCTGCTCAAGACCATCCCATCTCTTTTCCCACCAAGCCTTTTTCTCCTTAGAACAACATGCAAACATGAGAGAATGGCTGTTTTAAGATCATTCAGTGAGCTTCACAGATGAGTAGGGATTAATTTCTGTTTCTTCGAGTCCCAGGCTTGGAAATAGGCTTTTCGTGACTTTTTCTTACTTGGGATGGGACTTGCTTTTCTGTTGAGAGCCATCAGAGTTCTACATGCCATATATGAAGCTTTTGCTATCTAGAATGGATGGTTGAACTCATACCTTTCTTATTTCCTTCCTAGGTCTTGTCCATGTTGGAGATGAATTACGGGAAGTTAATGGAATTGCTGTACTTCACAAACGACCGGAAGAAATTAGCCAGATTCTGGTTTGTTTTGCCTTTTCCACACATAAGTATTATTCACAAAAACATATTCAACCATAAATAGCCAACTGCATTTTAGCTAGTACTCTGAACAAAAATCGGGATACTATGGTTAGATTATGGTTCAATGGGTCATGTGAACTCAGAAAATATAAGCTATAATTGATGATGGGCAAATTGGTAATGGCAGCTTGCTTAAGACTGCAGTTACATATAAACTTGCCTGAAAATAAATATTTTTTAAAATTCCTTGGGACATATGTTTGAATAGATTCTGATAAGTAAAACTATTTCTTCACATAGTTGATAATTAGTTGGATTAGTTAAATTATCAATTAAGTAAGAAGATGACATAATTATTAGGGCATTGTATTTCTAAAGGAAGATTGTTGATTTATTTGAGGTCTTCAACCAGAGATTAGATGGGCATCTTTCAGAGATGGTCTCGTGCAAAGTTTCTGAACCTTGGCAAATTTGAGATACATGGACTTCAACTCCCAGAATCCACCAGCCAGCTCAGCCTGCTCATGTCTATATCCCTTAAAGGTTGAGAAACAGTAGTGTTTCCAGCTGTGCTAGGTTTTGGTGATTTATATACTATCTTCCCACACTGATTCTGCTTATAAAAGCTACTGCTAGTAGACATTACTTTTTTAAATCTCTAATTCACTCATAGGATGCATAACGAACATCGGGATTGTGTTTGTGCACACACGGACGGACACACACACACACACACACACACACACACGTCTTTATTTCCATACCGCCAACTTAAAAGAATGAAATATCAGTGAATCCACAAAACTTAATCAACTTGAAATCTTGGAGAAAATTACTAGTAAGGGTAGGCAATGTTGGGATTCATGGAGAAATACTCTTGTTTTGATGTAGCTTCTAAGGAAATTTTTTTACTATTACTCTTGTTAGAGATAGAAAAGTGGGGGCTTAGTGCGTAGGTTTGTAATTTTAAGAATATGTGATAAATGCTGTCACAAAATGACTGCCAAAGGGAGTGCAGCCAGGAACAAGTCATGCATTTACCAAAATGGAAGCAAACGGGAGAACTTTCTGCATAGAGCTTCCGCATCTGGACTGCAGAAACATTGATAAGCAGCAGATGGCAGGAGACAGTTATCTTTTCTCAATATGTCCCAATTGTAATTTAGTAGTTTTGCAGGATTTTGCACCATGGATCTGGTTGCATCTCAGCCATTATCATTGATCTAGAGCAGTGGTTCTCAACCTTCCCAATGCCGAGACCCTTTAATACAGTTCCTCATGTTGTGGTGACCCCCAACCATAAAATTGGTGTCTTGGTTCCTAAGACCATCGAAAATATGTCTTTTTCGATGGTCAGGTGATCCCTGTGAAAGGGTTGTTCAACCCCAAAGGGATCCCGACCCACAGGTTGAGAACCACTGATCTAGAGTCTAGACTACTACATATTGTAGGTAATTCTGAATAACTACAAAAAAGTAGTAACCAATTTTTTTTAATACCAAGTAATGGTTGTTCAAATGTTTGTGGCCAAGTATAGTAACTTCTATCTGTGACCCAAATTTAGTAATATTTTCTATTGCATAGAGAATATTGGTAACACCATTGCCATTCAATGTTTATTTTCTAAGATAGATTTTGGAATTCAGAAACAATATAGAAAATAAAGAAAATGTTGGATGCTGATGTGAGACTAGGTCAGCTTCTCATTCAATTTTATTCAATTATATGAAAACTGAAAGGACAAAGCATCTAGTAAGTTGCAGTGAAAAAAGTATCTGTGGGTAAATAGTTGTGAATATGGCATATTCACATATGGCATATTCACAACATATGACAACTCATAGCATTCCTCCAAATTGAACATAATTGATTATGGGTTAATCCACCAACAAATTAGTAAGAAAGCAAATGCCAAATAGCCATTGACTTTCCATAACTGATTTTTGTGTTTTCCAAAAGCGTCTTAAAGCTGGAAATATGCTCTCCAGTCATCCTAGCAATGTTGACATCTGTTTACTCTCTCCCTGCTTTAATTATGGAGTCACAAGCCATACCTCTTCCATGCCAGAGAGGAAATGACATGATTGGTGACTCCTACACAGAGGGGCTCAAAATAAGACACATGTAGCTATTGCAATTGCCAATGATATTCTCAAGGTCTCTTCCAAATTAAGCAAACAGTGGGTGGGCAACAATATAGAGTCACCAAGGGCACCTGAATCATCAGCATTGCTTTCCTTTCTTTTTTTAAAAAGGAAATAAGGGGAAAAAACAACAAATATCATTGATTCCTCCATTGTCATCATAATGAAAAGCAGGATGTTCTAAAGAGGGTCACGAAGGAGTGTTTTTCCTTGAGCCAAATATGTTCTACAATTAAGCGTGGGCGTCTATGCTGGAACTGTATTGTGTTGCAATTTCTTGGAAGAATTAATGGAAGTTCGTTAATTTGATGGAGAAATAGAGAAGTTGCTAGCCAAGAATTTGAAGTTCAGCTCTTGGCATCTTCATCTAATGGGCTTGAAATTCTACAATTCCCATTAAAAGGGATTCAGAAGACTCAGTTCATATGCTTGCCCAAACACTATTAATTGGGCTATGCTATCAACCAATTTCTTTATTCCACTCAATAAGCTGATCATAAGTTAACCAAACAGATTTACAGTTGTTTGAACAACTTGCTAAACCCCAAGGATACGACTCTCCCCACATAACCCAGGTTAAAAATAACCAAGGTACCAACCATCTTGTGTAAATGTAGCTGATAGGTATATAACTGGTCTGATTAAGTACCACATGAACAGATCCATGAAGTCAATCACAGTAGTTAATACTGGGCATGATAAAAATCAACATAACTATATGGATTAAGACCAACTCAGCATAAAGCAGGAGGGTGTAGTAAGGTCTCTTCAACCAACAAGGTTTTTCTGAGTAAAACATGCAAACAAGTATTAGATCCCTGTCGTTCCCCCCCCTTCCAACCTACTGCCAATTATTGGTGAGATTTCAAAGTGCCTACATTTTTCATTTCAGAATAAGATCAAATCCATGCAAGGTGGTGGAGGGAAAAAGCTTCTTTCAGTGGATCTAAAAGTATGCCTGTCTCCTTTCATGCTGTGTAGTGGCAGGATTAGGATTAATTGCCATAGACTTGAGGAAATTCAATGCCTCTGGGTCATTCCTGAACATTTAGGAATGAGTGTAACTGACCATTTTTTCTATCTTAGCTGTGAAAATGTTTTGCTGGTTATCACTAAGAATTTGACATTCAGTTTTAAGCCTGGATTTAAGGACACAGCCAAGAGAGTACAAGCCTTTTTTAATAACTAGAATTGAGTTTCAATGTATTTTAAAATAATGTTTAAAAAAATGCTTTGGGCATTTTATAAGGCTACAGTCCTAGAGTGCCTTTCTCCTACTTATGTGGGAGAAAAGCTGTAATAAGCTGATTATTTTCAGTTCTTGTCTATTTTGAATATGCTTATTTATCTGTTCATTCTGTCCTGCTTATGTAGAAATCTGTTTATTTCCGGGGGGGGGGGGGAGGATCTACATGAAGATTCTTTGATGTTTGTATGCCTTTTACAGTAATATACACAGTTTAACACTCGTATAAAATATGCATTCTTACAAATATTTTGCTCTGTTTTCCAAACAAAGAACAGTTATGATGCTAGGGACACTGTAGAACTGAGGATCCTTTCATGCATATATTAGATTCAGAAGCAGAAATCAACTTCAGAATTCTTAAAATCCCTTTTTGAGTAATAAGCCCAACAGATAGCTTTGGGTTTTACAGTATTTTGGAGGAGACACATACATGATTGCACTATTACATTTTAGTTTGGGGGGAAGTATTTCACTTTTATTTGTTGAAATTATTACTCCCCAAATTCTCAGCAATTGTCTTGGCTATGTTGGCAGGGATTCTATGAGCTGAGATTGCTTCTGGAAAGGAACATATTTTGGAAAATGGCTGTGGAAATTGTATTGCACTTGATTTTATGTAGCTGTGCTTAAACTTAAACTGTTAATGTGTTTATTCGTTAATGTTAAAATAATCCTGTAGTTAATGTAATCGGTGGGTCAGAGTTGAACTGAAAGGAATGTGGACAGTCTCTTGATGACAGTACAGATATAGTCATCTCTTTGGTGACCCCAAAGAGACTTGTGGAGGTTTGGAGTTTGCATCCCACTTCTCTCTACAAAAGAAGAAAATATGGTAGGGTTTGTTCCTGTCTGGGGAATAAGTTCAAAGATACCTGTGATTTAGGTTTTTTTTCCCCCTGGGGACAAGAACAAGAGAATGTTCTGTGGGAATGTTTTAGAAAGAATTTAAGGAGGGGTGCAATTTACAGCACCTTAAAGAAATTGGCAGCTGCATTAGCAAAGCTGAATGTATTTGTGTGGGAGAGAGAAAAGGAGTGGGAGGGGGAAGACTGAAAGGATCACGTAAAAGAGAACAGGTGAAGGAGCAGTTTTGCCCCTTTCCGTCTTTTGTCCTACTCACTTTGATACCTAGCTCCATCTACTGCTAATATATGTCCCTGAGAATAGGGGTGGGAAACCTGCGGCTCCCTTGGTGTTATTGAATAGTATTTCACACAATTCCTTACTGAGGCCGAGCTCCTTGTCAAAGTTTTAACATATTTCCAAGTGACTGCATTGTCAATCTTGACAGTTCCGGATTCTGACATTGTAGACGGTTCATTAGGCGTTAGTTCTAGAACTAGAATGAATTAATGCCCAGTTTTTCCTGGGGAACCTTCCCCTCCTCTATGAAAAGTGGAAAATGTTCCTGCTATGGAACATACTTGGGGTAAATCTTGGTTGAATTTAGTAGGGTTTCTATCTTACTATACATGCATAAGTGTGCATTACACACTTAAAGAAAAAAGAATTCACTAGTTGCTCAAAACAAAATCCTATAGTTCTGTACAGTTGGTTCTCAACTTACAACCACAGTTGGGACAGCAATGTTCATTTCTAAGCAAGGCAGTTCTTAACTAAGCTGTGCCTGATATCATGACCTTTATTAATACCGTTATTAAGTGAATCATGCAGTTTTAAGTGAGTCTGGCTTTTCCCATTGATTTTGCTTGTTGGAAATCTGCTGGGACAGCCATAAAAAGTGGTCATGTGACCCAAGGGCAAGGCAACTACATCCCGGGTGCCAAGCGCCTGAATCATTGGCATGTTGCGACATTCGTAAGTACAAGCAATGGTTGTAAGGCACTTTTTTCAAGTGCAGTTATAACTTTGAACTGTCACTAAAAAGAATGGTTGTAATTTTAGGACTACATGTAATATGATATGCCCTCAGTCTATGTTGCTGTATTTATTATTATCCCATCAGTAAGGTGCGTACTTGTGAGAAGATGTAGGTCCTATTATACTTACTGTACAGTAAAAATGAGCTAGAAGGGAAGCATTCTCCAGGTTTTGTTTGGTTTTGTTTACACTTCATTTGGAAGCTAGAAATACAGATTGTCCAAACATTGTAGGTAATCAATACCAGTCATTCAAAAGGGGTCCTTTGTAGGAAGAGGAGATGTTGTCCCCATCCTTCTGCCTTGACTGTAGAAGCTTATACTCCAGATCTGTCAAGATTTACAATGCAGTCACTGGAAAATGTTTTAAGCTTTGTCGTTGAGAGTTTTGGGACTACAAAGAAGCCTCTTTTGCTGCCTGCGAAAGTGTCTGTCTGTTTAGCATTACAATATTGTGTGTGCAAACTGTTACTTGCGTTTGGACATTTTTTTAATAGCCAAATGGGAGAAAAGCATTGTGTGAAATGGTGTCATTTCTTTTTAGAATAGACAAATTAGAATGATGCTAACCTGAAATGCTTGTACTCTTCTGGTTTATGCAACCCATTTTATTACTTAAAGTATTAATTCACTGTATATGTATCCTGCTGAACGTGTGATCCAGCACAAAATGTACAATTAAAAGCAACCCATAAAGAATGAACTATAATTGCAGATTCTGAGTTCTAATCTTATCTTAGCCATGGAAGCCAGCTGGGTTACTTTAACCCAGTCACTCTCTCAGCCTACTTCACCTCACAAGGTAGTTGTTATGGGGAACACAGAAGGCAGGAGCTTATGACCATATCTGAGCATAAGCTTATGGTCATAAATCATGCCCCAATCTGATGTTATGACTTTTTTTTGCAGTGGTTGTTAAAAGAATCACCATAGTCATTAAGCAAATCCATTGTCTGCAATGGACTTTTCCCCCCTGGAAATTAGAAATAAATGCTGGCTTCCAGCCAAACAGTTGTACATTGCATCAGATGATTGTGGGATGCTGCAAACTGCTGTAAATGGGGTCAGTTCTATGTGATCAAAATGTGACCTTCTGACTGCAGGGGGGTGGGAAATGGGATGGGACAGGAGGCACTGAAACTTCAAATCCGGATCATAAGAACACTTTTTAGTATCTGTCATAACTTCAAATTGCCAAGCATAAGTTGTCAAGCATAAGTCAAGGAACTATAAATCAATGTCTACCTATATTCATTATTTTTTAACCATATATTAAATATGGTAATAAATCATACATATATAAAATATATTAAAAAGGTAAGATAAAAATCTAATAAGAAAGCAAAGGTAGTTCCAATAGTAATAGGCACCTTCACTGTAATCCCAAAACAACTCGAGTACCAGTTGGACCATCGGCATTGACAAATTTACCATCAATCAATTGTAAAAGGAAGCTTTACTCAACAACAGCTTATATCCTGTGACGATATCTGTAACATCATAAAAGTACTCCCATCTATATATCCCAGGTTCTTGGAAAGGACTTGAAAGGTAGACAAAAAATGCCAGATCCAGTCTGAATATCTGGCTGATTGTGCAATGAACAACAACAACAATGATGATGATGTAGGACACTAGGCTTGCACAATATTTTCTGCAGTACAGTGAACTATTGAATTATAAACTAATCTAAAGAGTTTACAGTAATTTATACCATATGCTAAGCCAGTCCTTTCCTCAAAACTAAGTAAGATTAACCAAGCTTTGCATATGTATTATACAAATGCAGCCTATTTAAACATGTTGTATGAGCTCAGCCATAGCTGAATGGCACTTTGGATGGCACAAACTCCCACCTTCTATTTGATGCAGGATTTGCAGTAGGCAGGGGAGGTATCTTTTAATAAGCAGTTATTCAGTTTCTTCCAACATGCCCTAGCAAAAGGGAACAAAGGAAAAGTGACTATTCACTAATGTACTGAATGGTGTATTTATAAGACATGGATAAATAATGCAAATCCCATGGGATTAATTTGCATGTTTTATATTCATATTTGCAAACTCTGATCACGTTATGATTGGGGAAAACCTTGCTGAATAATTGCTGTCCCTCTCTGATTGCTCTGTCAGTTTTTTAATATCATTAAGACAAAATAAAGGCTGTCTTCCCAGTACATGTTTAGTGGGTTAAAAAAAAAGGCTGTTTATGCCTTGTGTTTCAGTACTTTGTTGAAAGAAGCTAGATTGTTTCATTCAGCACAGTGTTTTGGACTATAAACTGAATTTTCTAATCAGCCATTTAGTCCATCCATGGAAAAGAAAGTTTATAGAAATCATGTGCACATTTCCTGCTGCTCACATGCAGGGTGATTCCTGAAACAGCTGACCGCTAATTTAGGATTCTCTGCAAATGTAGTCCCCTTCCAACCAGACTGGGAAAATACGTCTTTATTTTGCCCTTCAAGTGGGAAAGTAACGGCATACTAAAAGACAGTTTGGTTTAGTGGCTAAGTGTTTGGTTAGAAACTGGAAGAGCTCTAGTCATCCTTTGGCCGTGAAAATTGTGCAATGCAGTGTAATTATAAATGTGATTTTTCAAAGATGAGTCTCAGGGTGTTTGATTTTAAGATAGCCATAGGTATGCTGTTTTATACAAGCAAAAATAGTAAGACTTACACTTTCTATTTTCTGCAATCTATACGTTTACATTATGCAGAATTATGTAGCAAGCCATTGCCATACATTGATGTGATTGGAGGTTTTTTTTCTCTCTCTAAGAAAAGAATCTTTACCTAGGTATGCTGGGTATTGAATATCAGATCTTTTATATGTAAAATATATGCAAAGCTCAGTTTTACAAAACAGAAGAGAATTGCAGGCTACGAATTGTAGAGACAAATTGCCAGTGCTTGAGATTCATATTAGGCAGAGGAAGACAAAAAGAAAGAAAAGACACAAATGTATCCATAATGTTCACTGTGGCAAACTTTAAGAGCAGAAAATAATTTGAAACCAAATCAGATTATATTACTGAATTAATCAAGATTGGTTTTTGCAGTTCCTAAATTGAAGTTGTCTCCTTAAACTGGTAAAAAATTAGATAAAACCCATTTTTCCCCTCTCCATCCAACTTCCCATTGGTCCCATGAATTTTAGATTAAAAACATCGGGGTAGTGACTTCTTACTGATCTCTCAGAACCCCTCCAGACTAAGACTGAATTGCTCTAAGAAACATAAATTAGTAAAATTGTTTTTTTCTAAGAACATTTAGGGTATCTCATATTAAGACTTTAACCTCAACCTTCAGAACGGAACAGCGTTGTCTGGCCTAATATACCTCACAATTAGTCTCGAAGTTGAACTAATCATGTTGAATGTAGAACTTTGATTTATTCTTGTCATTCCACTTGAACATCTATAAGTAGCAACTTAGAGAAATCAGTTTGTTTTGTATAAGTCTTTTGCTGCTTAGAAAAGACATCTATCTAGAGCAAGGGTCTGCAAACTTAAACACTCAAAGAGCCATTTGGAGTCACAAAACCTGGGTGGGCATGGCTAACTCAACCTAACTCCCACTGAGTCACATGACCCCCCCAGGTGAGGGGCGGGGCCAGCTGGCAGGGAGCCACAGCAGGGGGATGAAAGAGCCGCATGCAGCTTGGGAGCCACATGTTGCCGACACCCGATCTAAAGGAATGTTTCTAACTTCCTCCAGTTTGTTCTAGTCACTGTACAAAGCCACGTGAGTTTTTGAAATCCAAATATATTAGATTTCTGGGGGTGAATCAGTTATTTTGCATACACAGTGTACTTGATATAGTCCCCAGCATTTCCAGATAGGGCTGGAAAACAAAATCTACTTTGGAGAACCAATGGCAATGGGACTAAATATTTATTAAGCTATTTGGTCTCATTCAGTGTGCAGTAAATGCCTAGAATCATCTGTACCCAGAGACAAGTAGATCTCAGTGGTTTTTGTAGATGTAATGTGATTTCGTGAAGAGAGAAATACAGAGTTATTTTTTTTGCAGGCTCAATCCCAGGGATCAATAACACTAAAAATTATTCCAGGCATCAAAGAAGAAGATCGTCTGAAGGATAGCAAGGTAAGAAAATCTGCTTACATGTGAAAACATAATATTACCTAGATATTCTTCTGAACAAGGGTCCCTTTACTAAGCATGTTTCAACATATTGGGTAGGTTAATATTTCCCATGTGTATGGAAACTGAAACTCTTAGACTTTTTAGCCTCCATAGCTTTTGTCCAAATTGGCAAGAATTGTGTGTGTGTGGGGTGTCAAATATGTTGGGTGTAGGTGTGACCCTTTTAGGCAGATGTAGGCTACCCTGGAACCTTTAGTGCAGTGTTTTTCAATCTTGCCAATTTTAATATGTGTTGACTTCAACTCCCAGCATGCCACCTGAAAAATTCTGGGAAATTCATAAATGTTACAATTACAAAATCACTGATCATTGATTACACTCAGTTCCCAAAATCTTAAAATTCAACAAATCTGGAAGATGCTAAGTTTGGAAAAAAAACACACCTATTTTAGTCCAATATCCTTGAAGTTTGAGCAGGAATCATTGCATGTTCATACTTAATTGAACAGTATTCCCAGCTTCTTAAACACACTTAGATCTGCCTTTTGTCTGAGGAAAATTCTTACGTTTTCAGACTAGAGATGCATTTTACTATAAACAATTTGGTTTCAATAGCTCCCTTCAGAAGCTGTAGGTGCTCCAACACTGGAGGTTTTTAAGAAGAAATTGGACATCCATTTGCCAAAAATGGTGTAGGGCTTCCTGCCTGAAGAGGGGGTTGGATTAGAAGACTTTCAGGTCTACCTACTCTGTTATTCAATTTTAATGTCCTGGATTAAACTGGAACTGGATTTTGCATGAAGACACCGTGAAAATCTAACTGGTTTAAAATTAATTTTCTCTTCCAGTGGAGATTTGAAAAACTGAGTGGAAAGGACACAATTTGTATGGGTGGGAAGCTGATGCAATTCAAATGATTTCTGGGCTCTGGAAGGAGCAGAAGTGTTGTGAGGAGGTGATAAACATGGTGGCAGTGTTTTCTCTTCCCCCCCTTTCTTCTTAGAATTTTCTAGCTAATTGGTTTTATAGGTGGCAGAATTTTTTTTCAGTCTGCCACCACTCAAATCTTGCCTTTCTAAAAAAAGTGTAAAAAGGTGGGGATTAGGGGGAGAGGATGAAGCTATTCTCCAGATCTACCTAAAATTATTTAACTATCTACATAAATCTGTGAATGGGGGTGGTGATTGGGGAAGGAACAGTTTGTCTTAGTCATATTTGCATATATATCTCTTTTACTCTGCTCCACTTTGAATATCATTATTTTTTTCATCTTTGTATTTGTGGATTTGTTTTCATATCCTTAAAGCTCTCCAAGCCGTGGGTTCAGAAGATAATCTATATATGTTTCTGCAGCTTCCCCCTCTCCCCCCATCCGCATTAAATTCCAGGAACTGTAATTATGGTCAGGGTAATCTTTCTTTCATCTGTTAGGTATTCATGAGAGCACTTTTCTCCTACAATCCAAAAGAGGATAAAGCTATCCCATGTCAGGAGGCAGGGCTACCTTTTCAGAGAAGGCACATCTTGGAAGTGGTTAGCCAAGGTGACTCAACGTGGTGGCAGGCCAAACATGTGGGTGACACAAACCTTTGGGCAGGTCTGATTCCTTCTAAACAGTTCCAAGAAAGGTGAGTTGGGAAAAGCAATGGCTTGAGGTGCGAGGCTCGATTACTAATATAATGAACAAAGCTGTGTGTCGGTTTAAAAATAAAGCAAATTATGTTTTCTTTTTTTGAGGGCACCTCTCATGAGTATTGTTGAACTCACACATTCTTCCTTCCTTTAGGGGACAAAAAGAAACTTGTATTTCTTGCAGATGCTAGCTGTAGTTTTTATTTTCTCCCCAATGAAGCAATCAAGGATTTGCACAAGCCATAGTTGACTCTATTTTTAGGCAGGATGGTGATGACAAAGGGTAGGGCAGTTTTTTTACTTTTCTTCCTCAGCTCTCCACCCCTTTCTCTTTCTTGGAGGATAATTATGTATCCTGGACTGTCTATTTAGGTTGTTGATTAGAACTGAAGTAAGATTCAACTGTCATCCTGCTTTCTGTACTCAGCAGTCAGAGTGCAGATGGCTTCTTGCTCTTAGCTTAAGCTACAATATATTTTGGACCAGTTCTGGTACAAAACAAAGGGTTTTTTTTGCATACTAGGATTCCTAACTCATTTTAAATAATTTTTGGGCTCCAGATTTGAGGAGAAAGTAGTTATTCTAAGGTGGTGAAACTGACTGTGGTTTTTAATGGCTCAATATGAAATATTTTGATCATTTCCCCGGTCCTTGTGTGGCATTTTTGAGACTACAGAGGCAGAGATTACTCTGGATTAGACGTGCAAATACTTCATTATGGTACAACTGGGGAAAGGGCTTGTCTAATGTATCATACGGCTTAGGAAAGTTACTGTAGAAGAAAGTATTTTACATTTTTACAGGAAATGACTAAAATTGTGAATTGACCACTGAAACCTCGGGGGGGGGGAGTACTTTCTAAAGGAGCTTCACTCAACATAAAGTATAGCAACAGCTTTTTGAATTTGATTTTCAAATGACACTTCTTTTAGGTGTTCACCTTTTCTCCCATCTTAATTCTCTGCAACTGAACTGGGCTAACAAGCAATTTTATTTTCTCTGAAAAGCAAAATGCAACTTGCCACTTGGAATTTTTCTTTTCTCAAAAATTGATTTTCGTTATTAAGGAGGGAACAGATCAATAGTAATAGAAATGAATGGTCTGCATATTGCCAACTGGCTGACTTCCACTTTTAATCACAGCATTTCCTTTGAACGTTCATCACTGAATAGCTCCCCTACCTCCTCTCTGCCTGCAGCAACTTTGTAGTAATAACACTTGCAAGGGCAGTAGCAAATACTTCTTTAAAATCTTTGTCCTTTTTATAGACGGTCACATACACAGATTTAGCAAAAGAGGGAGAAAGGAAACAGTACTTCCTTCCCCTCCTCCTTTTGTATGAGCCATTAAGAATAGCCACCTGCACCTTAACTCCCACTCAGATGTCTTAACAATGAAATGCAGGATGAGTGTATTACTCATATCTGACCAGCTTGAATCTCATATAGTATCTGTCTTTTCAGACAGGTAGTTGCTTACAGGTAGTCCTCACTTAATGACTGGTTGCTTGGTGACCGTTCAGAGTTGTGATGCACCTTCTCCCAAAGGTACTTACAACCTGATTCTAGAGTTTCAGTGGCCTCTCGCTCTCAGTCACATGATCACATTGTGGGCATCTCACAACTGGTGTGCATTTATGGCAGTTTGCAATGTCCCGCAATGACAGGATAATTATTTTTGGTGTTGTTTTTTTGTTGATTTCTATTTTCGCTTCCAGTTTCCAGCAAAAAATGCCCATTGGATAAAATTGAATTGTTAAATGACCATCCCATTTGCTTAATGACCATAATGTTCAATTCATGACTGCTGCATGAAAGGGCATAAAATTTGGTGATCCACTTAACAACCACCATGATTTATGATCATAATTTTTAGTTTCAATTACAGTCATAAATCAAGGATTACCTCTATGTCTTTGCTCTAAAGCAAGGTGGGCTGAGTGTTCAAGAAAGGAAGCAGCACCATGGACAGTTGTCAATGAGTTGAACCAAATTCAGACTGGCAAAGTCATCAAAACCCAGCTCGCTGTTAAAGTCCCCAAAACAGTATCAGAAAACTGATTGAACTAGTGTCAAGCGGTATGTTTTCCTGAATAGTTCATACTCTGTTTGAGTACAAATAATCTTTGTTGGAGATGAAGAGAAGAGTATTTCAAATACGTTTTCATGAGTGAGGTGTGGTCCTTTTGTATTTATTTAGTTACATTGACCAAAAGGCATGTGTGAATACACTCTACAGTCCAGGTAATATAGTCCTCCATCTGGTAGGCCTGTACAGCACTTCATGAATAACTTGGAAAAAGTTGTTTGGAGATTGAACCCTTTGCAGAGCAGGAGATTCCTTCTCTGCCATAGCAAATAGCTGAAGAATCAATTATTGTACATTCCCTTGGAAAAAAAAACCTGGATGGGTACAATTAGAAAACCTGCATTTCCTGCAGTCCATTTAAAGAGGTATGTGCACATAGTCCAACAAATGTAACTGATTCTGCTTTTAAAAATTGCAAATAAATGCTATGTTTATGTTTCTGCATGCTCTATAGAAACATTTCCACATTATTTGTGAAGTCTGCTGTCTTCTTAGTTTCCAAGACTTTAGTTAAAGTTCCAGGAAGTAATTTTTCCAGGTGTGTGTGTGTGTGTGTGTGTTCGTGTGTGTTCAGTAACAATGCTGAGTAACAGCAGTAACAATCACTACTGAGGAGAAATTCTGCCCTTGAAAATTGTTGGAGAATGTCTCTGTCTTCAAAAATGATGGAGGACTTGAACAGCCATTTGTGTCCAGCGATTCATGCTGAAAGTCCCAAAGTGCTTTTTAAAAAAGGTAACTGGACTTTGTTTTTCCTTGAAGGCCTTTCCTCTTCTAATCCAAGAAACTTCTTCAGTTCTGACTGAACTGAAGTCAGTCAGAACTGAAGACGCTTATAAGTTTGTGAATGTATACTTAAAATGGTATGTAAAAGAATAATTTTTTTTAAAAAAAATGAAAAAAAAAGAACTGAAGAAGCTTCTTGGATGAGAAGTGAAAGGTCTTCAAGGAAAAACAAAGCCCACTTACCTTTTTAAAAAAGCACCTTTGGGACAACCATGACCTGGATGATTGAGAATCTTCATAGACATTCATGCTGAACAGATTCCATAGGGTTGATGGCATTTAACGTCTTGATGCAACTTGACTGCCCGATTTTCCCCAAAGAAGAAAAGTCAAGAAGTCTACAAGGAGAAATATGCACTTAATTTGTTACTCCAAATTGCTTCTCAACAGAGAACATTCTGGGCTCTTCTTTTTTTTTTGCAGGAAAACACACATTTGCATAATTCAGACTTTTGATTCTCACCTATCCATAGAAAAATGACATTATCCACTTAGTTACTTGAACTTAGTTCCAGTTAAAATCAGTGGAACTTCAGAATGAAACCTTGTATTAGTTTTCTAAAAAACAAGCTTGAATTGCCAATGATAGAGTACATGCTCCTCGCCTGGACTGGGTCCCATATCTGTATCTCCTTCTCCTTCTTCTTTTGCTTCCAAGGGGGTTGATTTTAAATAGCTGCTTTAGAGCAAAGAGTAACCAGTATCTGTTGGGCCCAAAGTGGTCCTTCAGGGACACAATTTGGAATAAGTGCTTCATCCATAAAATAAATATTTTTTTTAAATGAGATTAGAATAATATCACGAATTATCTTAAATCAAAATCTACTTACTTTGTCCTTAAATTAACATGATACGTGAATCTACCTGATATGGCCTAGCATTCTGTTCAGACCAAACCATGGTGGCTTGTTCATGACATAGATTTATAGATTTATGGATGAACTAGGCCAATCTATAAGTACTGCAGGCCACTTCAGCTGACTGTTATCTGCAGTTCAGCGGTTCTAATCTCACCGGCTCAAGGTTGACTCAGCCTTCCATCCTTCCGAGGTGGGTGAAATGAGGACCCAGACTGTGGGGGCGATATGCTGACTCTGTAAACCGCTTAGAGAGGGCTGAAAGCCCTATGAAGCGGTATATAAGTCTAACTGCTATTGCTATTGCTAATTGAGGTCTTAAACTTATGTATTCCGAATGAGTCTGAATCAAAGCTATTTTTGTTCTTGTTGCTTAAAAGTTCTTAGTATTTTCTTGCATTCTCCCCTGTCTCAGAATTGTAAATCTTGTTGTTTTATCTAGGCGCTTAATGTATAGAAGGACCATCGGGGCATTGCACAATTCCAGAAGTGTTACAAAGCCATACTGTGAGTCACTACAAACCTTTTCCTTGTTTGTTCAAGGCGCATTTATATCACCATTTATAACTTTATAATGTTTCCCCTTTGATGGATAGGTATTCTCACCCCACAAGGACTTCGTAGCATTGCTGTGTCATATGGAAAGACAATAAAACACTTCATGTTTTAGTTTAATAGCCAGCTCTATAGGGATAATGACATTCAGTGGACTTAACTGATTGTTGTTTGATCATACAGCCCAGGATAGAGAGAGGCAGATCAGGGAGGGCTGACTTTGAAATATGCACTGTTAATTGTAAGCTATAATTCTCACCCCCTATGTAAAGCAGTCTGCTCATAAAGTATTAAAGTAAATAGGTAGCAAGTCTTCAATTAGTTTTCCACAATTAAGAGCCATATTGGCAGTTGTAGATTAAGGCCTCAAAAATAGCATTGCCTAGTCTATTAATTAATTAGATAGATTAAGCCATTTCAATGTCTAAAGTATTAACTGGTTGGCAGATTTTAATTGTAATTAAATTATAAATTAAATATTATATTCCTTTTAGCAGCTTTGGTAAGAGCATTAGGACTGACAGGTCTGGGATGCAAAATCAGGATGAGCAGTAGATGGCTCTAATATTGTTTTCTTGATCTTTTTTCAGCCATCTAGTGGTTCTGAGTTTTTGTATCACGGATTCAATAATCTGCAATTAAGCCTTCCTTATCAATAGTTTTGGCAACATACAATCAAAAATAAGGAATTCCTTTTGGGAACTGCAGAATCCCACGCATTTTCTACAAAAAAAAAAAACAAAAAAAAAACTATGATCCCGTGTTTCAGAGAACATCAGTCTCTTTACCATTGGCCAGACTGGCAACACTGGTGTGGAAGGGAAAGTGATTAAAAAGAGCAAAAAGACAACCATAGATACTAGGTACCGTAATGGTATAGGGGAATAACCTTGGGAGTTGGGAGGAAGAGTCACAGATGGAACAACTATAAAAGGTATCCCAGATCACAGAAAGAGAGGAGACATAGAGAACATTTCAGAAAGGACCCTTCCTAATTTTCCAGAGAGTGAAATGAGAGGAAGGGAGAAATACATTGGATCTTGCAAGATTCTGCTGGTGCAACCTTACCATAAAGGCAGAGCTAGAATTCATTGTTCTGCTCCTTGCCTGAAGAGCAAATAGGTTCATATAGATGTATGGCTATTAAAGTTGGACCATAAGAAAGACTGAGCACCAAAGAATTGAGGCCTTTGAACTATGATGCTGGAGAAGACTCCTGCGAGTCCCTTGGACTGCAAGGCGATCAAACCGGTCAGTCCTAGAGGAGATCAACCCTAACTGTTCTTTAGAAGGTTAGGTTCTGAAGATGAAAGTCAAATACTTTGGCCACCTAATGAGAAGGAAAGTCTCACTGGAGAAGAGCCTAATGCTGGGAAAGATTGAAGGCAAAAGAAGAAATGGATGATAGAGAATGGATGGAACCACTGAAGCAGTAGGCATGATCTTAAATGGGCTCCAGAGGATGGTAGAGGACAGGAAGGCCTGGAGGAACATTGTCCATGGGGTCACGATGGGTTGGACACAACTTCACAACTAACTAACAAAACAAAGACCAAACTTTTTGCTTACTCTGACTGCCCCTGCTTACTTTCTTCATGTGAACAATCTTTTTTTTCTGGGCCCTTACTAATATATTTTTTATCCTGCCTTTATTATTTTTATAAACAACTAAAGGCAGAAAACATACCAAACACTCCTTCCTTTTCTATTATATTATATTATCACACAACCTCCACTTTCCTGATCCCTGGCTAGCATAATTTCCTCCCCCATCACAGCCAAGCATGCAGAAGACAAACCGTCTGAGGGAGAATTGGAAATTGCTACCCTCCCACTTCTCCCCTCTGTCAGATCAGTCCCACTGAAATAGCCCATAAAAGGAAGACCTTTTTCCTTTGCAAGGAAAACAAAGCTTTTAATGAGGAAATTAAACAAAAATAAAGAAGATGGCCATCCTCAATCACAACAAAGCCCAGAAGGAGGCATAAAGGAACCCAAGAGGGGAGAAATACATAAGAGGATCATAAGTATTTACAACATACAGATAGAAGTAGCAGGGCATGGAAAGAGGAGCAGCAAATACCATATTCCTCCCCCCCACATATTGGACATGCAAACAGATTTTGTTTATTTACATTTGGGTACATGTGTGTGAATATTTTAAGACAGTATGTGTGAGAAATTGCTGAGGAGTTTTCCTCATTTGAATCACTATTGCCCATAAGTGCTGACAAGAGAATTGTCTGCAAGAAATCTGACTGGAATGTGTGGTTTAATTGCTCCTGCAATCAGTGTTGGGAAGGCACATTCAGTGGTTGCCTGAGCCTTGGCTAAAAGCTCTGCAGTGGAAAGAACTTTAGCAGAGGTATCAAAATCGATTTCATTTAGGGCCACTTCAGGGTTATGTTTCACCTCGGTGGGGGGCAGGGTGTATGCGGCCAGGGTGGCCATGGCCAGCTCGATGTCACTTGTATCAGAGGGGAAAACAGGCTCCCAAGCTCCATTTTCAGCTGCCACATCCTCCTGCAGCCCTCTGCCAGGGAAAATGGAGCTCCATTTTCACTGGCAGAAGCACTGCGGGCTGATCCTTCGCTGTTTCCAGGGTGGCCCCGCAGATTTAAGAACCCTGCAGGCCGGATCTGGCCCCCAGGCCTTGACTTTGACACCCCTGAGCTTTAGAGTTGCTCTATCAATCCAACTCTTTTTCCTGGAAGACTGAATAGACAGACAAAAATGGGCAACTATTCCATTTTTGGCTGGATTACAGTTTTCTCATGATATGAATGCCCAGGGGAAGATATTTTGAACAGACCTGGAACTGGTTGAAGTAAAATCCATAACTGACAGAAATTTTAGATGCTTGCCAAAACGATCCTACCCATGTTGCTATACCAAATGTCTAATACCATATAAAGCAGTGTGTAATATATATCCTAGCTACTATTTAACCATCAACTAAATATATACTAAGTTAACATACATTGAAGTAATACAACCTGATACCATTAATGACTACATTAATCGTTTAAAAAAAGAAAAAAGTAAGGTCTTGAACAAATGACCTCATTCTTTGTATTTTATTTTACATTTTATGGCAGTTAGCCCATAAATGGAAAGCCAGAATACAAATCTAATAAACCAGCCAAGTTATAGTTTAATAGCAACGATAGATCTCTTATTACCTTAGGAAATTTGTCATGAATTTCTACCCTGTTCTGTATTGTGCTCTATGGGATCATTTTGTTTGGGGATGGAGGGGTGGGAGGGGGCAGGTTGCCCTTTGAATTTGCCCTGATTTGATGGAAGGAAGTGCACACTCAAAGCATGGTAAAAGAAAATGGCTGGTAAAAGGACATCTTGTCTTTGTATGGATGTTTTCTGTCAAAATATCACACTCATCCACCTATACAACTAGTTTTGTAAGGATCCCGCCTGCTCCTGTCATTGATCCTATGTGTTTATGTGCATCAAAACATGTAGTTTTCTGGAGCCCATATACCATGATATTGTCAATTGATAATTATAAAGAAAAAGGAGGGGGGAGAAAAAGGAAGTTAGCAATAACAAAATTTCTTGCACAACTCGTGAGGAGTAAAGGCACAGTTTTGAAGTTTTACAAAAGTCCCTATATGATAATCTCTACTTACTTATTCAGGTTTGTTTAACTAAACTCTGAGTTGGGCCTTCTCCATTCAAACTGGAGCAAAAGAAGGGTAAAATCCTGCTTTTTTCCTCGCGCTCTCTCTACACACACAATATATATATATTGTCTATCTATCTATCTATCTATCTATCTATNGGTCTTAAACTTATGTATTCCGAATGAGTCTGAATCAAAGCTATTTTTGTTCTTGTTGCTTAAAAGTTCTTAGTATTTTCTTGCATTCTCCCCTGTCTCAGAATTGTAAATCTTGTTGTTTTATCTAGGCGCTTAATGTATAGAAGGACCATCGGGGCATTGCACAATTCCAGAAGTGTTACAAAGCCATACTGTGAGTCACTACAAACCTTTTCCTTGTTTGTTCAAGGCGCATTTATATCACCATTTATAACTTTATAATGTTTCCCCTTTGATGGATAGGTATTCTCACCCCACAAGGACTTCGTAGCATTGCTGTGTCATATGGAAAGACAATAAAACACTTCATGTTTTAGTTTAATAGCCAGCTCTATAGGGATAATGACATTCAGTGGACTTAACTGATTGTTGTTTGATCATACAGCCCAGGATAGAGAGAGGCAGATCAGGGAGGGCTGACTTTGAAATATGCACTGTTAATTGTAAGCTATAATTCTCACCCCCTATGTAAAGCAGTCTGCTCATAAAGTATTAAAGTAAATAGGTAGCAAGTCTTCAATTAGTTTTCCACAATTAAGAGCCATATTGGCAGTTGTAGATTAAGGCCTCAAAAATAGCATTGCCTAGTCTATTAATTAATTAGATAGATTAAGCCATTTCAATGTCTAAAGTATTAACTGGTTGGCAGATTTTAATTGTAATTAAATTATAAATTAAATATTATATTCCTTTTAGCAGCTTTGGTAAGAGCATTAGGACTGACAGGTCTGGGATGCAAAATCAGGATGAGCAGTAGATGGCTCTAATATTGTTTTCTTGATCTTTTTTCAGCCATCTAGTGGTTCTGAGTTTTTGTATCACGGATTCAATAATCTGCAATTAAGCCTTCCTTATCAATAGTTTTGGCAACATACAATCAAAAATAAGGAATTCCTTTTGGGAACTGCAGAATCCCACGCATTTTCTACAAAAAAAAAAAACAAAAAAAAAACTATGATCCCGTGTTTCAGAGAACATCAGTCTCTTTACCATTGGCCAGACTGGCAACACTGGTGTGGAAGGGAAAGTGATTAAAAAGAGCAAAAAGACAACCATAGATACTAGGTACCGTAATGGTATAGGGGAATAACCTTGGGAGTTGGGAGGAAGAGTCACAGATGGAACAACTATAAAAGGTATCCCAGATCACAGAAAGAGAGGAGACATAGAGAACATTTCAGAAAGGACCCTTCCTAATTTTCCAGAGAGTGAAATGAGAGGAAGGGAGAAATACATTGGATCTTGCAAGATTCTGCTGGTGCAACCTTACCATAAAGGCAGAGCTAGAATTCATTGTTCTGCTCCTTGCCTGAAGAGCAAATAGGTTCATATAGATGTATGGCTATTAAAGTTGGACCATAAGAAAGACTGAGCACCAAAGAATTGAGGCCTTTGAACTATGATGCTGGAGAAGACTCCTGCGAGTCCCTTGGACTGCAAGG